GGACTGCAAACCTTGAACATGTCTTCTCTGTCTGTACTATTAACATGATTTATTTGGGGAGCATCTGTATCAAAGCGGAGTTGTGGCGCGACCCTAGCCTTTACCATTGTTATATGCGATATTCTGAAGCGGTGGCTTAAAGTTAGCACCTGCCTGTTGTTGAATCTGGAAAGCAAGTGAGTGGAACTTGAACCCATACAATCTAGATACAAATTATGAGGCAGGACGCTTTGGTCTGTACCCAGGATGCACCATGTGCGGAAATCCAGTTCCAAAGTATGCACCATCAGTGTGATGGTGTCATGAAAGTTTCGGTGTATACTTATCCATACAGCGAGGGTAAATAGAGTTGTACCATACCTCCGCCAGGAACATCTGACTGTCTGAGTGGGAGCATTGGTTGACATTCACTCTTGGACAGTGACCAAAATATCCTGCTTGATATTTCTCTAGCATTTTGCCCGATGCCTCTATTTGTTAATATATAGCGAGCATATATTAACCCATAGAGTATCATAAAAACTAAAAGCTGACTTAAGAACTAAGAAGAATAAAATAATTTGAATTACATACTAAATCCATAAATCCAGAAGTACATCGTGGAAATAAATTTTTATTATATCTGTATGAATTAGAAGTTTTTTTTTCCAGATAATTCAATTATTCGCAATATGACTTCGGCATCAGGAGCGATTGCAAACTCCATAAGAAACAAGCTACAAACAGCTTTGGAAACAACACACTTAGATGTTATAAATGAATCATACATGCATAATGTGCCTAAAGGAGCCGAAACACATTTTAAAGTTGTTGTTGTTTCTGATAAGTTTGATGGATTAGCTTTGATTAAGGTAAGTGACCAACAAGCCAGAGTTGTTCCAGACATACCATTTTTTTTGTTAGAATCAAATGCAGGTGCGTTCTGACTAGAGTTGTGGCAGCATCAAAACCGAGTTGTAATAACGTCAATGCCATGGGGCGTGCGCGCGTTACACTCCTACAGCTAATTTGTACTTGTACTTTATCTTAACTTTACCACAACAGTTCAGTAGGCGTATTTTGACCAAAAGTCAAAAATCAGTTTTTGTGATGAACTTATTCAGACTGGTAAAATCTTATCACATGCAGATTGACCAAAGTCGACCCTCTCGTACTGTTAACTCTGCTCGCCATTACCAGCCTTTTTTTGAATAGGTAGTATTTTAAATAAGCAGATTATTTCCCTTGTATAAAAAGCCGTAAGAGTTCTGCATATATGCCATCAATCTGTTTGCAGAGCAAGGTTCATCAATCGGCAATAGCGTAGAAACTGACTGAAATTATATCAAAAGTCAAAACCATTCATCACCAGTCTCAATCAGGATTAGTGTTATTATTGAAATTACTAAAATATTTTTTCCCAGTAAATTTAAAGCAAAAGAAAGATTTCCTTATCATTAACAAAACATAATTTTTGGTATTACACATCAATATAATAATATTTTCCTATTTCAGAGGCATCGTTTAGTCAATGAAATATTAAAAGAGGAATTGCAGAATGGAGTTCATGCTCTGTCTATAGTAGCGAAAACATCAAAACAATGGGAGGAAAGTGAAAAGACTGTGGAAAGTAGCCCCAATTGTAGAGGAGGTTTTGGGAAATAAGTTTGTTAAAATAGTTCAGAAATGTTTAAGTTTAAATAACAGAAGAAAATTATAGGAAAAGCAGTTTTTAGTTTAGTATCTACAATTTCATTATGAAACTTTCTTTTAAAATATAAAAACAAATTTACTCAAAAACTAAACATTTTACACATTGGTAACATTTAACTGATCTGAAATAACATCATCCTTTTTTATTTGCCTGTAAAAGTCCATTACTGGACAAGTCGTCTGATACTGGGAGGTGGTTAAATGTCGTCATGCTTAGCAGACCAAAGGCAATTTGTAATCTTTATACTAAATTTGTTTATCATATATGCACAACACTATATTGTATATTGCTACTTTATATTAAAAAAGTTAAAAATACAAAATGTATGTATTGTATTATTTAGAAAAACCGATAACAAACTAATGTCCATTCTTAATTTGTTAAAAAATTTATGAATATGGGGAAACATTGATCACCAAGGAACAAACCAAAGAAATGTATATTGCGGTCACATTAACTTGACGCATCGCTGGAATGCGAGGCCCCGCCCGCTAGCCCCCGAACTCCCTTAGCTCGCCGACAATCGTCAGTATGGTTAGCATCTATGTTACACTGTTGTAAATGACGTCATCAAAGCCATGCGTCAAGTTAATGTGACCGCGTTGTAATCTTAATGTTTATTTATATAGAGATATCTTCTTCTTAATTTTGTATTGAACACAACCTTTCAATATTCAGGACACCACTAAAATTAAATAAAACTATTTTGTAATATAAATATTTATTACCCTGACTAAACATCAGGTTCAAATTTCACATACGATATTAATACAATGGACATGTATTAAATTAATTACATATAATTTTACAATACATGTTGCAACATGAAGTATGTTAACACATTTTATTCTTTAACTCTATTACATAATTTTTTACTTTTACTTTTACATTGAGTGGCCTTATTTATTATAATTGGTAAATTATATTAGTTTGGATAACCATCTGCCATTCCACCTGATCAAAAAGAACAATTTATGAACTTCTCTCCACAAATAATATCTTTATTATTGTTGTAAATCATCTAACAACTACCTTTGCCGAATGATAACAATAACTTTTATTAATTACAACATTAATCTGGGTATTAATAACGAAAACCTCTAGGTAATCCGTTGCACTATACTTTCTCATACTTTTCTTGTACAACGCATACGAAAAAGCAAGCTCTTTAATAGACAGCACCATTCGTTGCAGCCAATCAAAAGTGTACTTCTCAACATAGAACACCCCCATAAATTGTCTCAAAGTTTTTAAGATTCTCATTCATTTTGACAAAGAGAAAACTTTCAGATATTGTCAAAAATATCGACTGCAGATATTGTGATACAAATAACGCGCAAACATAGAGGCACTTTCTTGTCCTAAATAACATAGACCAAGACCGAAAGTATTAGCATACAAACCAGACCACATTATATACCTATTACATTATATACCAATAATTGGTTTTAGCACATAATGAAAACCCTAAATCCAACAATGTTTTCAGTACATCTTAAAATTTCAATCATAGTGTAAGTACATAATATTACGCTTAAAAGGTCAATAAAAAAACAGTTGAATCAATTAACTATAATCAGAAAGATTTTACTATACCTAATGACTTTTTTCAAAATCCCAGAAAATATACAAAATTTGATCTGCACAAAGTTCAAAAACTTTATTAAACTAAGTTCGTATAAAAAGGTTTATTATAATATTGAGGATGGAAGTGTCAGAAAGGGACGTCCTAGGCGGAAGTTTGTCGTCCAAATTGGCAATGTACTAAAAGTGGGCCAAATTAAGAGTACCCTTAACCGACGAGCATGTATGCGTAGGTATATGGATGTGGAAGAGGCGACAGAGGTATGTCAGGATCGTGCTAAATGGAAGTCTGTAGTCTCTGCCTACCCCTCTGGGTGACAGGTGTGAGTATTTATGTTATATGAATTTTAATAACCCCTGGGAAGGGTGATCGCTACCAAGCTATTTATAATTTATTTTGTGCTGTTAATTGTAACATACATGATTGTGAGCTGTTGTTTAGAAAAAATAGTCCCGCTGTATTTCTTGTTGGTTCTTCCCATGACAGGGATTTTTCCGCTTCCGGTAAATGAAAAAAAAGTGACTTTCAATATGTATTATTTATAATCTATATTGAATAAAAAATTTTGTTTCTGTTTCAACTGCATTCTGATTCATAATTGTGGATAGATGTAGATTGTGTAAAGGACACAGCATCAACTAACCTGTGTACTTGTTAGTCTTGTCAACCTTATTGTATAGAAAGAAGACAGGATGTCACGCTGTGCCTAATCGCAAGCGACTTAACTATGCCATACACTTCTAATTCATCTTATTATTTTCCACTAGGAAAAAAAATTCGAACAATACTGTGCCTATGGACTCCACATAAATTGATGTAAGCAAAAATTCAAACAGAATAGTGTTTTATTAAAAAATAAAATAAAAGCAATGAAAGAAATGAAAACAATAAAATAAATGATAAGCCACACATAAAGCTATTAATCTAATTACCTAGATAAATCTAATTGCTAACACTAATAATAAATTTTAACCCCAATTGAGAGCGAAAGTCAAATCAAAAGTGGTCACGTCATATATGTCATTCACTCTATCAGGTATCGCACCTCTTATAATGACATTCATACTCCTGATATTGTTATAAAATGCCTGTTTAGCGTCATCCATTCCGGATATTTTATTTTGCACTGTGTTCTCAGTTGATCCATTGATCGTTCACCGAAATCGCAGGCATTGACAATCAGAGATATGTAAAGTCACATCAATCGACCATTGATATTCACGTAAATCCCATCAGTTGGGAAAGGATGGAGCATTAAGATGGAATGCCATATTTCCAGTAACAATGGTCTTTAATATAAATTATAGATACAAAATTATGCAGGAGCCATTTCGCCCTAAGGAAGTTGTAAGAGGCGAATATACAGAAAATTGTAATAGCTTCCTAGAGACGGTGGTATAATTACCTTATTTGTCATGTGTAAAATAAAACTCATAAAAGCAACAGACATCAGCGTCTATGAGAGAAAAATCTGATACTTTGACCTTCAATCCGCTTAAAAAGCGTGATGAAAGGAAATCCTCCGCTTCAGCCGGCCTTTAAGGTATAATGAAAATGAAGATGCAAAAACTAGATTTACAATATTTTATTAAAATTAGTATTCATCATCATCATTACAGCCCCTTCATAAGTCTACTGCTGAAAGCACGGTCTTGAGCCACCTGCATCGAATGAGTTCCTGCATGTCTTGCTATGTCGTTACTCCATCCAGAAAGGTCTGCTTTACACTTCGCCTACCGTGTTACCTTAAATTCGTTTTGTTCATTATCATTTATTTTACTTAAATACTGTGAGCTCGTTTGTCATTCTTTTTCTATAAATAAATTAAGATAAGCTCTGAATAGTTCTTTTTTTTTAAATCAAAGAGTATTATTACAGTAATAAGAAACGGTCTTTATGCCTAAATACTCAAACGCGACTTAATTTTACGATGTCGTTTAGTCTCTGTCACTTTGAGTCAAAGTCACTGTAACACCACGAAACTTCAACGTCTTTCAAATCTGTGTGCGTGAGTATCGGGGGGGGGGTGGTGGGGGGATCAAAAAAAGGGTGTTTATATGAGTGGGGGGGGCAAAAAAAGGTGGGTGTTTGTGGGGATGGGTTCGGTTTTTACTGCCGTACGTTTGAGCATTTGGTCATTAGACAATCAGGGTATCCACGACTTATTCTGCCACCAGGGCGGCGTCACATTGGAATGAGGTGAAATATTTAACAAATTTTATATTGAGGAAAGGTTATTCCTTAGAAAAGTGTAGGGAAAATGGTTCTTTCTGAAATTTTAGTTATGTTTTATATCAATTAAATTGGAAATGAATAAACTAAACCACTAATTTATAAGCGACAGTAGCCTAATAGCAGGGCGCGGACCGCGAACTCAAAAAGGTCGTGGGTTCGAATCCACCATTCGACTACTGGCGTGAAAATTTAGGCTTACCACGAGTGGTTAAGGGGAATATTAGTAATGTTTATAGCATTGTTAATATTCTTTTTTATAAAAAAAACGTAGTCTTATCAACAACAAATTTATTAAATCCTGTAAATAAATTCCGGATCTCATCACGACCAGCAACAGTCGTGAATCTTATAGTCTGAGCCATGGTTATATCCATAATGGTACGTCTGTTCACGTACTGGTGGTTTAATAGTTGATTGTGTGAAGGGCTCCAATTAATATAACTATTACCTTGAATTTCCATTTCATTATTTTGTGGTAATCGTACGAATGATCTCTTTATGCGACTCAATAACTCCTCAAAATATTTGCGGAGATCATCAATTTTCGTATCAAAGATCGCGGTTGCTTGATCATCCATGACTCGAAATCGTAAAGCAGTTATTTCTAAATCTTTCTGATTTAGCATCTGTTCTAATTCTGTAATCCTATTTTGCAAACTCATGATAGGTTCTTGAGCAGTGAGTTCGTGAATCATCCGATTTTTATTGCGTAATTCAATTTGTAATTCAGTAATTTGTTTCTCGAGATTTTCTTTATAAACTGATGCTAAAGTAGATTATTCTCTTTCTGCAGTACGCTTCAAGTGAGTATATCTTTTAGTCAATTTAATATGAGGTTCTTTTAAAGCTGATTCAAACGGAGTTCAAGAAGATGACAATAACGACGATAAATGTGTTAGGAGCCCTGAACTGCTTGTTGTCTGCGAAACGTGAATAGGTGATACTGTGGTAGTTGGTGGAAATAATTCTGAACTGATTTGACTCGGTGAACCTGTGATAGGTGACCTCTGTCGTACTGGTGAACTCACTTGTGCAGATGTGCTTGCAACTGGTGAGGTTAATTGTCGAGATGCACTTACGCATCGGCTCCTTGTTCCAACGGTGATGTCACGTCGTCTACGTGATCTCGTAGAAACCGCAGAAGATTGCTCTTCAGTTGGTTTACGAGGCTCGTTACTGTCTGAAATTTTGACTGAATAATAAGCGCAGTGCCTCCATATACCTCTCCATATGATCACACCTAGCTTCGGGTGATACAAAGTTGCACAAATTTAATATCAATTGTAATTCTATAACATTTACGAAATCTAAAGTATTGTGATACGCGTCGTAATATGAAGAAAGTGCTGCAAAAATTTCTTCTCGATCTAATTTGTCGAAAATATCTTTAGTTGTTATAAATACTATTAATAATTTTGTATCCATCAATTATAAGCCCGTTAACACTAATTCCTGCACCGCGAGTGTTAATCCAATTTGGATCTAAAAGGATCATAACATAATACGTCACCTGGTGAAGAATAATACAATTTTGAGAATTTTGTTTGTAATAAAATGTCTTAATGTACCTATCAAAACATCAGTATCAAACGATACACTATATCTCTCCGATGTGGCCACGTTCAACATTTTTATAATATTGTAATTATAATAAACATTGCAGAAGTCGCTTCTACCTAATTTCACTGGATCAGGTACGACATACTGTTACGCGCTCAAGTCGACGATACACTAGCGCCATCTAGTGTCAGGAACGAGAGCGAGGGGAGCATTGAGAAAATGACATCACAAATCACTCAACCGACAGCGCCTAGTCGAAACTCGAACGCTCGGTACCTTGCGCGTGTTTACTTGAACATTCTGGATATTTCTTTGCTAATTTAAATAAGTAGGCGCTGCAAGATGCGATCGGAGCAGAGTTGAACTCGGCGACACAAGCGAAGCTTCGGAGCGGAATTAAGTGAATTAGTGTGTTTAATTATTAGTGTTTTTAGTTTTCATTTGTGTAAAGTAAATTAAAGTGTTAATTTAGGTAATTTTATCGGCAATTTTTATTGTCACGAACCTCAAGCTCGTAACAATTGGTGTCAGAAGTGGGATAAAATAATGCCGATTTTACCTAAGAAGGAAACGGAGGGTGTCCGTACCCGAAGTCCGCCAGCAGGAGACGGACCAACGAAGATTTGGTGGTGCAACGCCGCAGACGTCGGAGGACCAGCCACCGGCTGCAGGCCCGTCGGTAGCTCCTACATCTGCAGTACCTGACTTAGGTGCTCTGATGGTGATGCTGCAGGAGCAGGCTCGCCGACAGGAGGAATAGGTCCGTCAGTTGAAAGAGCAGCTGCAGAGCGGACAAGAGGAACAGGCCCGTCAGCAGGCGGAACAGGCTCGTCGGTCGGAAGAGCAGATGCTCCTCATGAAGGACCTTCACGCTACCTTTGGGAAAGAGATAAGGGACGTGAAGGATAGGGTTGCTCAACACGACAACCGCCTGTCGGAAGCTGAAACCCGAATCGAAGAACATGAAACCCGAATCAACCATGTGAACAATCGGGTTGACAACGTGATGGCTGACGTGAAGAAAACGCTAAACGACCTCAAACTTGCGGATGGAACTACAGCTCCCGTAGTAGCTGCAGCACCTTCGCTACGTGGATTCAAAGTGCCGCCGTTCGACGGGACCTCTTCCTGGTCGGCCTACAAAATCCAGTTCGAGGCCGTCATGGAGGCGAACGGCTGGAATAAAAGCCAAGCCATGACTGCACTCACCCTAGGCCTGCGCGACCAAGCCTTAACTGTGTTGGAAGCTCTCGGTAAGAAAGTGACCTATGAGCAGCTTCTTGAGGCCTTGGAAGCGAGATATGGCGACGCTCATCTGGAACACGTCTTTCGCGCGCAGCTTAAAGATCGCGTGCAGCGCAGCAACGAAAACCTGCAGCAGTGGGCCCTTGAGGTGGAGAAGATGGTTTGAAAAGCATACCAGTCTGTACCTGCGCTCATTGAAGGGAACCTGGTTCAGACATTCATCGACGGCATCCGCGACCTTGAAGTCAGAGCTGCTGTGAGACTCGGGCACCACGACACGCTTAAGAACGCCTTGGCCCATGCACTGGAGGTGGAAGCCGTGCGGCAGGATCATCGTTCCCATCGCGTCAGGGAGGTTGCAGCAGCTACAGTTCGCGACCGCAACAGAGGATACAGCCCTAGGTGCTATGGCTGTGGGGAAAAAGGCCATCTTCGATCCAGCTGCCCTAAGCGAACCGTGGAAAGGAGAGTTGATCGATCTCGAGAGGGTAGTGCAGCTAACGACACTGCCTGGCGGCGACAGGATCATCGTTCACCTCACGCTAGGGAGGTTACAGCAGTTACGGTTCGCGACCACAATAAAAGATACAGCCGTAGGTGCTATGGCTGTGGGGAAAGGGGCCATCTTCGGTCCAGCTGCCCTGAGCACACCCTACGAAGGGAAGGTGAACGGTCTCAGAAAGGAAGTGTGGCTAACAGCACCACCCAGCAGCAGCAGGAATACGACTTTACTATCAGACACTGCAGCCGGAAATCTCACGGCAACGCAGATGCATTGTCAAGAAGACCTTGTCCTGAAGATTGCAACCATTGTAGTAGGCAAGAGAGTAAGGAGGTGGTATCCGTGAGGATGCTCAGGACAGACCACCTCAGCAACGGGTGGAAGGACAACCTACGACATGCACAGCAGGAAGATCCGGACATCAAGCCGATTCTGGGATGGATGAAGGCCCGTGCTACCAAGCCTAAGTGGAGGGACGTCTCAGCGATGAGTTCAACCACGAAAAGCTATTGGGCCCAATGGGACAGCTTGCTGATTCAGGATGAAGTCCTGTGCCGTAAATGGGACAATGGTCGAAGAGACAGCTGTCGTTTGCAAATGGTTGTCCCTAAAGCTAAAGTGCCGAATGTTCTACAGTTGTGCCATAATGGTCGTTCAAGAGTCCATCTGGGAGTTAAACGAACTCTACTGAAGGTCCGAGAACAGTTTTACTGGGTCCATTATCGTGACGATGTCGAGGATTGGTGTCGTACATGTACAAGTTGTGCGGCCGAGCGGGGACCTCGGACACGTAGTAGAGGAGCACCGAAATTGTACAATGTTGGTGCACCACGGGATAGGACAGCCCTTGACATTGCGGAGCCGTTACAGAAAGGCGCAAGAGGGACTCCTAAGATCGTCCATGTGAATCGCTTGGCGCGTTATTATGGGTCCGATAATGCTCGGGTCGAGCATGTCTTAGGAGGGGGCAGTGTTACGCGCTCAAGTCGACGATACACTAGCGCCATCTAGTGTCAGGAACGAGTGCGAGGGGAGCATTGAGAAAATGACATCACAAATCACTCAACCGACAGCGCCTAGTCGAAACTCGAACGCTCGGTACCTTGCGCGTGTTTACTTGAACATTCTGGATATTTCTTTGCTAATTTAAATAAGTAGGCGCTGCAAGATGCGATCGGAGCAGAGTTGAACTCGGCGACACAAGCGAAGCTTCGGAGCGGAATTAAGTGAATTAGTGTGTTTAATTATTAGTGTTTTTAGTTTTCATTTGTGTAAAGTAAATTAAAGTGTTAATTTAGGTAATTTTATCGGCAATTTTTATTGTCACGAACCTCAAGCTCGTAACAATACCATTTTACACCATCGTAAACGAAATATTTTGAACAGAAATATATCGAACGTTTATACTTAAAGACTTTTGATTCTAAATTTAATAGCGTAGCACACCAGGCATTCATGTCTTTGAATTCGTGTTTTGTCAATAACCAACTGTCATCACCAGCAAAAATTTCGAAATGTACTTGATCCATATCAAACATTGTGGCGACGACAGCCATCAGAAACCTAGTGTTTTGACAAAATGTAGAAGTGTCACCCGATTTGCGTTGGTAATCTACTTTATATTTTACACCATTTTCTATTATGTCAAAATGGTATGGGCGTGTGCGTTATACCATAAATCAATGTAAAATTTTAATTTAATGACAGGGTTACATACAGATTTCCAAAACGCGTTATCATTTAGTTCAGCCTTTGATACATTTACTCCAATATTTTGTGTTTCACTTAATTTAGTGTATAATTACCATAACATTATACGCACCAGAAATGTAAGTTTTAAGTATTTCTACGCGACTATTAATAAATTGCTCATCGATCTAATCACTAAGATCAATAGTCAACAATTTCTTCATATGTACTTTCTTCATTAGCAACTAGTTAAATGAATATCCTACAGTCACCACTAACATCATTTAAATCTACATATAAATTCTTCTTTATTAATTTCATTATTATTTATTAGTGCCTACGGACTCCACATAAATTGATAAGCAAAAAATTCGAACAGTATAGTGCCTACGAACTCCACATAAATTGATGGAACCTCTGGTGAAAAGAATTGCCATTCAGAATCTTCAACCTATTTTTAAGTCGATAAATCTTACTGTTGGTTGGAATTCAAGTATGATAACACTGATATATATCATGTCATCATCATCATCATCATTACAGCCCTTCACAAGTCCACTGCTGAATATAGGCCTCCCCCAAGTAATGCCACAAAGCACGGTCGTGAGCCATCTGCATCCATCGACTTCC